ATTATAATAAAAAAAATGGAAGACTATAAAAAGTTAATATCAAAAACATAAATCGTTCGCTATTAACAATATATTTATATATACATAAGTATATACCTATAAACTGGGCTTTATTGATGTACGTAGTTCAGCCTGCATAATATTATCGTCATCGTCGAACCATATACATACATACCTATCATGTACAAAGCTTAAAGTTCCGATTTTTAAACGGACGCAATGTAGCAGAATATTATGTTTAATGGTTTAAACCCACGATGCGAGTGCGTGCGAGCACACAAACAAATGCGTTAAACATAGTAATATGTATGATATATAATCACCGCAACCGTGCAGCCTGCCTGCAGCACCCACGTAGGTACTTGTTGACAATATTTGCATAGGTGCCAAAAATATGTTTTCCGTTTTTTTTCTCCTCTGTACGCGAACAATTCATTCCTATTTAGCTACATAATAATATTTTAATGTGCAGGTATATATTAATATTGTGCGTAGGTACCTAGGTACTTAAATATTGTTTTACTCGCGTGAACCGATCGATCGCATTCGGATTTGCAAACATCCTCTATAACCGTAGATTATATATAGTCTCTAAATTATATGCTAAAAGAGCATTATTATTGTTACCATAATACGTAAATATATTATACATTATAAAGCATGCATGTACGGTAAACTCACTATATGCTTATGTGTATTATGTTATTATAATTTATCATACTCACTTTCTACGTAGCAAGGAGGGCTAGATGATACTATTTCCATCATGACCACCATAATATTATCCTAGTCCTGCTCAGAAAAAATAGTATTTATTTACTAATTTTTTTTATTGACTTCATGTCAATACACGCCCATACTCAGTATAGTATACTATATTGATAGAAATTGGGTAGGTATTTATTGCATTCTTCATCATATCCCCTCCTGGCCCCTTTTTGTAAATTTTGACTACGCCACTCGTACCATAATAAACTAGGTTATCTAAGTTAGGTGCCTAAATATATGGCTATAAGTCATGCACATGATCATATAAGCGTACTGTACTTGCTTCAAATACATTTTATTTTTTTAAGAAGTCTAACTATACATTATAATATATACAGGGTCTTAAAAAATGTATGAGGAAAAAGTGGTAGGTATTTCGTAATGCCGGATCAACACTGGACATGAAAACAAAACAAAACATAAATTCAACTTTTCCCAACACATGATGGAAAATCTAAATTACTTATAAAAACGGAAACAAAACAAAAAATAACAGACTCTGTGGACCCTGGACTCGACATAAGAACCGTCATAATCTTCAGCATTTTCGCCGGACAAATTTTGTAAGGAACTGTTACCAATTTATCGTAAATAGATGATTTATTTTGAACCGGGGTGAACGCTTCTGCAGTTCTGTCCTAAAGGGAAATGTCCTAGATTCTCGCATTCCGTTTTTAAGTGTATATTTTTATGAAACGTGTGTAAGCTCTATACACTTTATAGACTATAATGTGTAGATAATAATATTATATGGACTTATGATGGAGGATTGCGGCAACGGATTCGTAGAATATRTTATATGTACGAAGTACGACATTTTGATAAATACCATATCACCGTATAATTTATGACGATAATGCGTGCGCGGTTAACTAGGTATATGGGAATTTTGCATTTTTAATAACCGCCGCTACCACGGCCACTGCACCGCTATTTGAAGGTAACTGTAATAGCGGACACCGCGCCGCCGACATCGCGGTCGTTATAGGAAACGATTTGTGCCGGTCGGCCCGGAGAAAGGCAAAGAACCGGTTAATCGAGTGAGTGAATATTTGGCAAGGGCGTGGCTTAGAGCCAYGAACATGCACTGTACATATATTATATTATATACTATACAGCTAATATTATATTCTACATAAACTTGAGTGTAACGTTATTAATATATATATATATATATATATATATACACATTGTGTGTGTATGTGTAAAATATATAACAATAGTATAGGCGTGCGCTAATACATATTTGTCTTGGTATACATATACATTATTATACTAAGATATGTATGATATATACAATATAATATAGTTTCAGTGGTGGTTAATGACGGTGTACGGTGAAAGTATATATATATATATATATTATATACATACACACACATATTATACCTATACTTAACAACAATAATGGAATAATATATGCATTGTATCTGTGTGAGTGCACGATCAAACGACGCGGCCATGGTGTAGGTGTACCTACCGCGAGAAGAGAGTGGAGAAAGGCCAGACGAGTGCAGACGGATGCATTTTATGTACCCGAACGTATTTATTATTACATATTTTTTTAAATATTCATGGCACATTTCTCGCCTTCACCGCCGCTGCAAATTTATCGTTATGAACTGAAATCGTGTACCCCAAAAGTAATAGCTCTTAAATATATACATATTATAACAGTACACTACGCCAATATTTTCACTTAGTAGAGTGTTGATCAATTATGTTAATCACCTATCTGTCTATGTAGTATTCTCTTATATATAATGTAAATGATAAATTAGTACTTACTTATTATTTTTTATTTTACGACGCCGTTTATAGTGTATATTGTAGTCGCAGTGTTTCCAAGAAAATATAGTAGGTACGCAACTTATGTTTGGAGCGTTCTAGTTCAGAGTTTGGTCTTTAAAGATTTTATGAGGRAAATCTCAAGTTGACTCCGCTCCCATGCATAGGTAAAATACTATAATGTGTGTGTACTGATATAATATATTACGTCTATGATGAACTTGGTAAGCAAACGGTTTTTTCACATCACTTCAGTCTTCACATGACTATTAAACAGGAAAAATAACATGAATATAATGTATTAATATGTGTGTAGCGCAAGCGTGGTTTGGATGTATAGGCCCCACGTTCAACACAGTAACGCCAATAAAACCCGAGAAGGTAATGAAGTTTCGAGTATAGTATAAAATATGTATTCGTTTGATATTCATCGACATGAACATGGAAGAATTTCAAACTCAGTTGGATGCCAATTAATGCGAAGCTCTGTAGAGATTATTTCATAATAAATATTATCACATTATCTTTTTATGTTTTTTATATAACGCTATTCAAAACTTACTCATAAAGCATCGAGAACATCGCTAAAAAAATACTTAATGCAATTCAATGGGTACAATAAAAAAACATTATTATTATTATCGGAATTAAATGTTTGTTGAATTATTGTATAYATTAATTATAATATTATGAAGTATAATACATAAACTTATATTTTATTTAGTCGTTGAAAACTGGCGAGATAATATTGTACTAGAGCCTATAATGAATTCAAAAAACTAGTTTTTCACTCTGTTCGGTTAAAGCAAAATATTTTATATACAACATAATGTCAACTGGAAACAAGCTAAACGAAAATCCAATAGCATTCAATTTGGAAATTCATGACTTCATGTCTTCTGCAGTCTGCAGAGTGCAAGATCATTTAAATCATTTGTTACCTGTGAAAAAATTAGGTAATTGATGAATGCATACAATTACCAGACGCTAGTAAATATATATTAGGTATGCATTTAGTACTTTGTGTGATACTTGCCCTTATCAGTTATCATGTGATAAGAGAGTAATATTATTATTATTATAGCTACAAGAAATGTTATATATTATTTATATATATTTAAAAACATTAAAATGCTTTTAATTTAATAATTTAATATAAAAAAAATAATAATAGTAAAAGGGTATGTTAGTTTTTAATAGTAGTAATGGTTAAATGTATTTATTTATTTCGTGTGATTATAATAGCTGGATAATTGCTTTTAATTTAATAATTTAATTAAAAGCAATTATTATATGATCATGCACCGTAGATAGTGGTTATGCTTATGATTTATGAAATTATGATATAGATAGGTACCTAAACTTCCGATTTAAAATAAATTTTAATATGCTATAGGTACCAATATAATGAGATTAAATATTAAATTGCTCTCATTGTGTTCTGAGATGTTAATTTAACTTCCTGGCTGTAAAATATAATCGTATTGTTTTCAAAATACGCACATGGCCAATTTGTAAATACGACGCAATTATATTTTGAAAATACCATGCTAAAGTTATCATACGGATTTTTAAAACTATCTATTTTGTCGTAGAATAGCTATATATTGTATATATTTATTTACTAATTTAAAACGCGTTGTTTACTTTTCATTGACAAAAAATTGTTATTTTTTTTTACACGGTCGACTCCGATCTGTTTGCGTCAAAATATATGTTCTAAAGTTGTGACATGTTCACGTCCAAACATCACGTACGGTTTTCTGTAAGGGGTTTTATTGATTTTTAAATGTTAAACGACGTCAATAATAATATAAACGAACCATTATTATATTATATCGACACAATATGCATGTAAGTGTTTCTGTGTAAAATAGATTCGAGTGGGCGTCACGTCATATGCATCAGATTTCAAATTAAATGTACCGACAAATTATTTGAAGTTGTCCAATCATGATTATTATTCGAGTATATACGGTGGTCGTAAAATGTCGCCGGAGGCGCAGCATTCGTTTGCGCGTGTCTGGTGAAAATTTCTCCACTATCTTGCAGGTGATAAATTCTAACAATATCCAACGTACAGGTTTTTTATATTAATTTATTACAATATTATATATGATTGACCTTATATTATGAGAATAAAAAAATAAAAAAATACACTCAACGCGGTCGAGAATGTCACATCAATCATCTAATAACATATAGTCATCACCTATATCTAATAAAATATTATGTATAGGTAATGGCGTAAATATTTATTTTGTTCCGTGTCTGTTTGACCTAATCGTGTACCTACGACTTACCTAAAAAGCGAATACCCACATCGTTCAGATAATAATCAATTGGTATATACTTATAAGCATGTGTAGTATATATTATGACATTTAGATATTTTATGTTCACTGCCATTTTTTTAACGCATTCACGTTTGTTGTGTTCCGCAGGATTTTAATGACGCGCTGAGGGGCACAGAAGACGCGTCGGATTGGCTGATCGGCGGAAACGGCCGGTCGAATTCTCACGTGGTGCTGCACGACCGTCTGATGACCGACGCGCTGTTGGGCAATGCCCCTATCAAGGCCGAACACTCGTATTGTACCACTCACGGGTCTAGCGAATCGCTGGACGCTATAGGTGAGTCACGTCGCCGCGCATCATTCGTCGTCGTCGGGTTTCGTAATTCGCCATAATATATAATATATATGATTTATATAGTGTAGGACGTAGGTATATAATGTAAGCCCAGCGTAAATGGCACATTCTTCGCCGCATTCCTATACAATACTCTGTACCGTGGAACAATATAATAATAATAATGTAATGCACTCCTATATAAATACCAAATAGACAGAGTACGAGAAGAACCGTGAACCGCTTTTGGCGAGGAGGGGGTAACGGCCGTGAGTCATGGAAGACAAAACCCGTTACGTGTTCCACTAAAAGAAAATGGTCATTTGTTTTATATACATAATATATAAAAATGATATTATACTTACCTATCTTACTTATATTTCACCTATATACATCGTTATGGGCCACTAGAAATATTCTTCAGAGAGCGTTCCGCGGAAGCAAGGAATATTTCGGAAATATTTTCTTGTATATCTTGTCTCTTATGTGAATGTTCCTTTAAAAAAAAAAAAATTATTTTTACTAGTAGACAGAAGGTGGCTCCTATTCGGAAAACGATATTTTATTTCACATTGATTTTAAATAACCACCTTGACGAGTAAAATCATGAGCAATAAATCTATATAGGGACAAATTATAATTTTCCTGGAAAATTCTCGGTAATTCGGTATTAAGAATATCACTATTCACTATATCTATACAYGACTATACAATATATATATATACACATTATGTAAGACAAATTGATTTAAAAAAATTAATTGTTAGATACCGAAGTAGGTCAACCTTTCGTTTATTTTTGTAAAGCAAATATTGAAAGTGATGCGCAGATATTATAATAATATATCATACATTTATTTGATATAGTAACCTAATTTGGCAAAATAACATGTGTGATGTGCATACAATCGAATTGTCCGGGTGAATATATGTAATGTTACCCTCCTCTAGTAAACTGTTGATTTTGCCCAACGGTTTCCGAAATGACATAGAACAGAAAAAGATAACATGTGTAATCATTATATCGAATATTTATGGAGTTGAATTTTTTTTTATGGAAATGTCACGATTTTATTTAAACCGTCGTAAAAAATAAACATCATACAAGTGGTGTAGTGTAACATGGCTGTTTAACCGAAATACCATCACAACAACAGTAGCTGCAGGTTTTTGAGCAGATATGGTTTTTTTTTAGGCAGTAAACTCCGATTTATTTAATTCTATGTGTTCAACAGTGCCTGACTATAGTACTTGTTATAAACTCATGAAATGATAAAATGTGATAAAATAATGTTAACCACAAATATTATTTCGACAATATCCTTTAGATATGCTCTAATATTATATTAATATTAATACTCGTATTTAATCATTTATGGTCATCGAACTTCAACATTTTTGTCTTTTAAACTATTATAATTTATAATATTTTACTTCCCTTTACCTACGAACAGTAGTAATAACTACTGCAGTGGTTGAATTTTATCCACCCTTTAAACCGCAATCTATTTTTATAACCCCATATAGAAACAATACTTCAATTCTGTTTACATCTATTATACAGGGTGTAACAGGTACCTATATTTGAATAATAGTGGTGTTATGCACCAGGTGGTCACATTGTTAAATAATGATAAAATATAAAATGTATTTATTATTGATTACCTGYCTTTTAATGATAACAAAACACTGATTAACAAGAAATAAATTTTAATATTAACAAACTTTGAAAATCGTTTAAAAATCAATAACGTAACGAAATTAAAAGTTTTAAATACTTATTTATAAAATAGCTATCATGGATTATAAGAGAAAATATTAATTTAAAATTTAAATTATTTATTTTAAATTGTAAAAAAATAAAAAATAACATATAAAAATTATAGCGCRCAAAAATCATTGAAAAAAAAAATGAATAGAAAACAAGTTATAGCATTAGTCAAATAGACCTGTTAAACTCTGTATTAACGATTTCTATATACCTACCTACCTACTAAGGGGTTGTGTAAAAACTAAAAAATATTTATTACTACCTACATAATAATTTTAAAAGTTTCTTTCATAGAATCCTTTTTAGTTTAAATTGAATGGATTAAACCAAAATGGTTCAACTTTTTTCAATCGTATAATTCATTAAAGTACAATACAACACAATTTTTGTATTTTGTTAATTATGATTATACATATTTTTTAGATTTGGACGAAGATAGCAGCCAGGACGGAACTTGCAAGCTGACATTTGATGAAGTGAGATGTGATCGTACCAATAACATTGAAATGATTAGTATCAAAGAAGATACGAATTCAGTAAAAGATGAACCGATGAGTGACCAGGAATATGTTGAGACTTCCTCTTGCCCGCCATCACCATGTTCTGCGTCTGATGATACGCCCAGACATTATGGCAAGGTAATTTAAATAGCTAGCAGTTTAATTATAATAGGTTTAAAATCAATTTTTTTGTGTGGCCTGTTAATGTATTCCGAGAACAAATCATTTATTTTAATGGCTAGATACTACCTTATATTTATTTACAACAAATTTCAAAGAGTAAAATTATTTATTTATAGATTTATAATTCGATATAAAGTATGACTCAAATTACAATTTTCAATTAGCTGAATATGTTTTATTATTTTTTTTTAAGGAAATTCTGCGTGTATTAGGAAAAATTAGGTATAGCTTATATAACATTATTGACCATGATTTTAACATAATAATATTGCATTATTCAAATATAAAAGTGAAAATTATCGATAATACAATAATGTAATGAAAAAACAAGCAGTGAGTGTTTGTAGATTTTCGAAACTTGAATAAAATTATAGGTAGGTACAAAATTATTTTTAAGACTTTTTATTTAAATATCTTTACAAATTAGATTTCCTGCTTAATCGATATATAATCTACATAATGTTAATTTTAATAACAAACAATGCGTTTATTATGCTGACTAATTAATAATGATGATCATTTTTTTATCTCAAACATTGGTGTTTATTGATAATTTGTAAACCTAATATTAGTGTCAATTTATTGGTCTAATGCGTTTTTAAAAAAGAAACGTGGAATACTTTTAAAAAGAAATTAAAAAAATCTGAATGCTATATATTGAAATTGAACTCAATTAGGTGTTACAAATAATAGTTCCAAGAAAATAATTAAAAAGAGAGAATAATATGATAGATATATTAACGTTTTTTTTTTTTATACACCTATATATTATACATAAATCTATATTAGTTTTCATTTACTTGTAACGGCTCCCATCAATGTAACTACAGCAAATAATATACAATGATTTCTTCATGTTTTTTGATGTTTGCGAGATTAGAATTTATTTAACCGTAGAAAAAGTATAATATCTTACTTAATATATTTCATAATACCGATCAGTTATGCGAGTTCAGTTGCATACGATTCTAAAAAAATCAATTTTTCAGCTATAATCAGCAAGACAAATACATATTTATGAATGTTTTCCCGTTGTTTTAACATATCTGACAACTTAATAGCAACTACAATATATGTATATATATATAATAATRTATTATATATATATATTGTGTTACTAATGGAGTTTTCATTCTGAATTATTTTTTTCTGTGCATAAATATTATTTCATGTTTAATATTGTTTGGCACTCGCTAATAGAAAAAATTCCACTACCGGATAAAATAAAGGTGAATATTTGTTAAAGAAAATATAAATAAGAATATTTTAGTGACTTGAAAAAATAATATTTAAAAAATGTATATATCATAAAATGCTTTTAATTCATATCAGAGTAAATAATAATTAAATGTGTGATTACTTATTTATGAAAAGTACTTGTTATATAACCTATAAGTGCTCAAACACTCAATGAAACAAAATAATAATTACAATAGTCATAAAAGTTGATGATTTTTATTTAATAATATTTTTCTAAAAGTAAGTAAGATTTAGGTTAGAACCCAAATTGTTAATTAAAGCAATTCTTGTTCAGATTTATTATGTTAATTATAGTTCTTAGAATTTAATAAATTATAATCATTCGTTTTACTGAMAAAATAAACATTAAATAAAGATAAACTTATAATTGAATAGCTAATTATTATTAATTTTGATTGTATCACTATGACAATATTATAATATATAAATTTGAATTTAATACAGTATTATTTTTATATTATGGCCGATTCAATATTTGTTACTTTAAGTAAATAAAAATATTTTTAATGTCAAAAATATAACCAGTATCGAAATCAATACCACATCTCAGAACTAATTTGTCAAGCACTAGGACCAAACCCACAGGACGTTTAAAAGCTTAATTTTATTCTTAAAAAAAACAGAATTGTACAATTTAATTTAATGTAATCATGTAAATACTAAAATACTAACAATGTAATCAAAAAAAAAAATCGTGTACTTATGGCCTAGTTGTCGATGTATATTTCAGATCAATAATAAAAAAAAAAAATAAAAAAATATTTTACTTGTGAAATATTTAATATTTTAATGACATGCTAATCTAATCTAACATACTAATGTCTTTATAATTTAATTAACAGTATGTCACTATCTTATGAATATTATGTTAATGTGAGCTTAATTTAATATGACGCGACTATATTAGATTATTTACCACTCTATAGTAATTTTCTTTAAATTCAAATTAAAAAATCAATTTCCTTTTAAAACAACAAAATTAATTATTTTCCGTACATACTTAAAATAAATAAAAATGCATTTTTAAGTTAGGTATAGATTTAAAATTATTAACTGTCAGTTACATGGCATGGATCCAATTTTCTACATGTAATTACATTTAAGTTTAARATTGAAACAACGTTGCTGCTGTATAAGGTAAAGAAGAACTTAAAAATTGAAAAAATTAAAAATAACCAAAAATATATCAAGATTATTCATACACCATTGCAAAGCCAATACATTAATTGATGTACTCAGAATCTAAAAACATTCTGCATACACGTTTACACTGTGCATAAAATATTAAAATGTATCTCCTTGGACGCTTTGTTATATAATTCTTATATGAATATAATAATGGTAAAATATATTACTTTCAATACAAACATTACAATAAATGTTCGTATCCTTTTTTTATAAGTTGTTTTATATTTTAATTTGTGAATGGAGATGTTTGTAAAAAATCCATTATTATTTATTACCTAACATTATAAAATATATTTTAAATTTTTACAGGTACAGAAAACTAGTTACAAAGAACCCACAACTGTCGTATTGACCTCTAGAGCATTCCTTAATCAACCACACAGATTAATCGTCCCAAACTTTGGTCTGAAAATGGATGGCACAGGTAATACCCCAATGATACATAATATTAGGCATATACATTATGCACATAAAATATTTACATAAAAATACAATATAATATGTGTTACGACTTACGACATATCGTACTATATTCTACATTTGTCTGGTGGCCCCGGCATAATTGTCCTCGGGAATTAAACATACTCCTGCGGGGGCGAGGACCATCATGTTCCCATAATCATAACGTATTCACTGCAAACATTAAAGCGACACAATACTTTATATATTATACGCACTGGTATACATATTACACGTACTTACTTGGTGCTCTCGTTTGTTGCCCCTTTATAGGTTTTTCATTGCCACCCACGCCACCTTCTTCCACGTCAAGCGACAGCGAGGGCGGTAACGTATCACCGCACCACCGATCGTCGCCCACACGGCGGTTGTTCCTGTCGACGATGCCATCGTCGTGCTCGTCGTCTTCATCGTCTGCCGCAGCCTCAGCCACCATTAGCAGCAGCCGGCAGCCTATACAGACGCCTTTGATCAGTTGTCAACCAAAAGGTTCTACCGGTGCACTGACGCTTACGGAAGAGGAGAAACGTACCCTGCTGGCCGAAGGCTACCCGATACCTACCAGGTTGCCATTGACCAAGGCTGAGGAGAAGTCGTTAAAGAAAATCCGAAGGAAAATTAAAAACAAGGTACTTAACTCATTATTTTAAATACTATACCATCGCACTAAAGTATTATAATATTACTGTAATACTGTGTTACCGTTTTCCCATCCTATTCGTTTCAACAATCAATTGTTGACTAATACAATTTATTTACTCAGATATCGGCACAAGAAAGCCGACGCAAGAAGAAGGAATAYATGGATACTTTGGAGAGGAAGGTGGAGATTCTCGTCACCGAAAATTGCGAGTACAAAAAGAAAATTGTTAACCTCGAAGAGAGCAATGGGTCCCTAGTCCAGCAACTGCAAAAATTGCAGAAATTACTCGGGCTACAAGCGACCCACATTGTAAGTTTATTATTTATTTAGTAGCAATATTTATAATTGTCTCTAAAAACTATCTGTTTGTTAAATAGAGAGTGTCTTTGGTATTATAATTAGCTTCTGTAGTGGTCTGTGTCATGTCTCTGACTCAGTTCACTACGTATTAAAATCAGGCGTATCATATAGGCAATATAGGTGCATTTGTGCGTTTATTAATTTTATCTGTTAACCAYGAATAAAGTAGGTATAAAAGAAACAGCATGACAATTGTATCTATCATAATCATATTGAAATACACTTTCGTTATAAAACTAGCATTGAAATATCGTTTTTAATGCATACTGTAAGCATATCTCAGTGATATTATATTAATATTCATAACTAACATTTTAATTTGGGTTTTCTTACTAAGCCATAACAATCAATATTCATAGAATTGTAGTATTATAAGTACTATTATGTGTCTATGTATGTATGTATGTATGTATGTATGTATGTATAAGAAATGCCACATTATTAAAAAAATTTATATTATTTGTGTTTCAGAGTCAGCAATTGAAGACCAAATAATTACAAGCTTTTTAGTGGTGTAAAAACTATATATAACGAATGACCAATGGTGAGTAATTGAATAATAAAATAAATAATTTTATATATTATATAATATAATAATATTATTATATTATCTAAATGATATACTGAACTTAAGTCAAAATTATAATCCACTAACGCCATCTACTATTCTGGAAACGTTCTAAACTAATGGTATAATTTTTACCCAGAGAGGTCAATTTCCTATTATCCAATGATCAGTTTTTGTATGCCATATACTGTGTTGGCGTATACCTTAATAACATATAAAATATTATAATATTGCATTTTTGGATGAGCAATGAGCATATTATTATCTTTCACTTCACTGACTATCATCATTTTTTAGCATACAGATGCAGCTTTAACATAAAAACAATTACGAGTAAAAACTGTTATTTTATGTTCATTTATTTTTTTTTGTTTTCAGGTGCAAATACAATATGTTTAGGAGTTTTAGTTCAATGTCGACAGCTAGTCCATGATATAACTAAATGCGCTTCTGCGAGTATTCATATTTAACCATAACACTGCATGTTTATATAAGTACGCTGACGAGATACTCGCAACGACACAAGATAAAATTATTTATTTTTGACGTTCAGCCAATATTTTAAAGACAGAATTTTAATTCACGGCTGATAGAGTTTATGAAATAATATGAAATGCAAATCACATTTATGACTACATATAATAAACGTATTATTATATTCTGTAAGAAAAAAACGACTGATGAAATAAACACCAATTATCGGATAAAAGTGATGTTTTTGATGCACTTGTGCATCATAATAAATCAAAAATAATTAACTTTTAATCTCATTATTACTCGTTGTAAGTGCCAAAATTATAATTATAAACATATGTATGTAAATTTTTTTAAATTGCTTGTATCTGTGCCTGCCACATGTATATGCTATACAGACGTTATATTTTGTCTATGTTATATATTTATAAATCGATAAACAAACAATAATGTTAAGGATCGTTTTCCTAGAGTATTAATAAAATAAATTTATAATACAATTTTGTTGTTTGTACCTAAATTTATTAATTAAATTAATTATATTATATCGAATTGTACATAGTACATATTTTATACATTTGATTCAATTTTGTTGTTAATTTAAAATATATATTTTCTAGTTAAATTAGTTAAATTTTAAATATTATTACATTACAAACAAAATTTGAATTTTTTTGTTTTAGAAAAATATTTTTGTATAAAAGACATATTATATTATATATTAAATTGTGTGCAATTTTTTAGCAGATTTCCATTAGCACGTAAAATTATTATTTTATGTTATAGTGTATAACACTTGTTTTTTTTTTTTATTATCATTATTATTATTATTATTGGGGTAGCACGTACGTTATATGTTTATGTATTCTCAGGTGTCCCAAATTATGTTTGGTCTTTTGTTTTACTTGTGAATATTGAAGGGAAATTAAATTTGACCAAACATTGTGCTCATCAATAATTGTTTTTCAATATTGTTTTATTGGAGTTCACTCAATATGATGAACTTCGTTGTATAGTTACTACTTAATCCATGATTTAAACCCAAACAGTTGGATATTAAAATCGTATGAATAATAAAAGAAGGAAATATACTTTTGTTTTTCTTGAAAAATGTCTTAAATATATTTTTATTTCATACCAAGAATGTCATTTCAGTATTTCATTAAGTAGCTTTAGTGAATATGTTATTGGATAACATCAATAAACGATACGAGTTGTCTMTATAGATAATAGATGTTGTTTTAAGTTCAATATTATAGTAGTTCATGAGTAAGTCATGAACCAAAGATTATTATCTTTTACTTAGTATGGTTGATAGACACTCATAACATTCCCACAAAAATGTTTAAAAAAAAGTCACAGCTGGTAGCTTTATGAACCTAAAATTGCATCTTTTAATAGTCTTTTAAATAGATTTATAGGTTTTAATAAGCAACGGTTTAAAATCTTACAAAAATGCACATGGTTTCTCACCGCATASAGTTCAAATTTTCCTCATTCATTTTGATTGATCAACATTCATAAAATTCCACATCCGGTTCCACTCGTTTACCAACCGTTCTGAAGAATGAACAGTTTATGGTTTTATACATTATTAGTACATACAATTACTATCTTACATTAACTTGCACTGGTATTTATGTTCAAGTTTCGCTGTCACTTAAATACTGTGTTTGTTATAGATATTATATATATTTACGGTCTTGATACTATTGTGTTTTAAAAATAATGTTACATATTTTTATGGTATTATTTACTCTTAAATATATCAAAATTACAATCGAATTCCTGGTACCATCATTGTATTTGGCTGTGTGTGTGTGTGTGTGCACGCGTGTGTGGCGATGCCGATACCGTACAAAAGACGCTTCGGAAAATCTATACGACGTGACCGCTTCAAGGTCGACGCAGCTGCATTATGTATTTTTGAATTCACGTGCACATTTTCGTGATAAAAATAATACGTCAACAACGATATTATTAATATACAGTAATATACTTACATTTTATTCAAATTTTTAGTTCTAAGACTGTGCAGTTTAGGTTAAACAATAAACTATGCTGTATTTTACATATCTACTGTGTATTAAAATTTAGTGAGATTAGCATTAAGATTATAGTATGTTTCATAATATATATATATATATCATATAGCATAGTAAAAAAAAAACTTTATTATGTGTKCTAATACATACGGGATTATACAAAATGATATGTTTAACGAAATATTTTTGGGAACGAAACGAAATTAAAACGAAATTTATTCGATTTTATTTAATGAATATTTTTTTTTGCCCATGAGTCTTAGTAATAATATTATGACAGTTTCACATAAATAGTATATAACAAGCATATCTGAAAGATCTGGTGAAATTGCACGTCGAATGATTTTTTATGGCATGCAAATATTGCAAATATATTTTCATTTCGTTATTACACATTTAAATGTTGTATTTAAAAAAAACATTGTAAAAAATTAGTATTTACTATTTAAAAAAAATAAAGTTACTAATTATAAAATTTTAAAAGTTTATACAACTTACTACAAGATAATATATTTTGTACGTTGAAAATATTGGTTCATCCATGTTTTCGATATACTTGTCAACATTCAGTAAGTTGTGAACTTTTATTTTCCACATAATATGATTAGATAAAAATGAGACAAATTAAGCAAGTGTTGTCTGTATTCATCACACCTTCTATTTACAAATTATTCAATGATAAACAGTATCAAAAATTATATTATGAATATAATGAAAGTGTTTTCGTTTGATTGACCAATAAAACAGAGATAATATTATAAAAATGTTCTTAAATACTATATTCACTCCCAACTCAACTCCAGTACTAATCCTCTCATTAAAGATATGGCTTCACTGCATATCCCAGGCAACCCCCCTCGAAGGCTCAAACGAAATTGGAATCGAGATCTCCTTAAGTGATCTAAATCCAACTATAAGTTCTTAGGTGTTACCAATGGGTGACTTCCTTAAAAGTTATTGTTWAAAAAAAAAAAATATGTATATATTCTATATCAAAATTACTAAATGTGCTTGTTGTATAGATTGTTTTTGAAAATAAAAATAATAATAAAAATACTATATTATGTTTGTAATTTTTTTAACAAATCCCACCGTCCTACCTCTCCAATCAGTGCAAAATAATGGTTTATACTTTGTGGATACTGAGGTTATATTACTGCTAGCACGGCACATTAGGCTTTTTATCCTTTAAGAAAATCAGCTATAGTATTTTGTGTACTTCTTTATTATATACTTAATTTTATACATATACACCTATAACACAMTAAAAACACTTTTAAATTAATGGACACGAGCCTTAAATGMTTTAAGACTCTTACTAATTATTTTACTAATAAACRGTATTTATAATTAATCAAACATTTGGCTGAAATAAATGCCAAACAATATCAATCATAAATGCAGTGAAAGCAGAAAAAATATTTTTAAGAGGAACCAGAATATAATGATCAAAATGATTTAGCATAATATTTCATATTTGTATCCAATAATAGGTACTTATGTAATAAATTTATATCATATATGCTTACAGCTGTATCCAAAAATACAAATGGTTGGTATTATTGTGCAATTTGATAATTTTGTGAATGTATGCAATATGAATATAATATTATGTATTTATATAGGTATATATTAATATTGCATGGCATAAAAATAACACAATATATGATACCTATTTATAATTTGTAAGATATTTCGTACTACGAGTTATTGTATTTATTTTTTCTGAAATAAATAAAATTGCAAACTGTCAAAGTTAATTTTATATAGTCAATATTTCTCATATAAATCGCAGTGTTTGTATATATTTATATTTAATATAATTTTAACCGTACACAATTACTACGTTAATATTATAATGACGTTAAAACGATTTGAAATTCAATAGGTTTTAAATTCTTTAACTACATAGTGCGAGCGTTTTAACGTCATCATATAAACGTAGTACCTAAATATTACTTGATGTGCTAATAAACTGTCATGACTCATGAGGCAGTAGGACATTCAAAAGAAACCAATAAAAAAGAAAACCAAYCAATCATCGGTGTTTTTRAAAATGGGATAAACGTTGGAAAATCCAAGAATCTTGGAAGAAATAAAATAATAACACAATAATACATTTTATGAATATTAAATAAGTTTTAACAAAAAAATATTTGTTTTGTACTAAGACCTGCAGTACATGTTTGATGTTGACAACACATGGGTCATGTGGRTACAGCAAAAGTAGTGATGTATTATACTTACATATATTACTTATAATATTATTATTGTATTGTACAAGATGTTTCAATTTTTATGTAAATGACATAGTCGTTACTCGTTATGCGAACTTTATGTAATCCTGCACATACATTGATCAATTTAAAACTCCAAGATGGCTAGATAGTAGATACCCTATATACACATTTATACCTACATTACATACACACTAATTCTTCCTCCAAACTAAAATGGGCTGCTCCTCATGACACCGACGCACCATACCATGTCACCACTCGGGAGTTCACCAATTGCGCTTAAAATGACCTCTTTATGTACCAATTGCGCACTAAAAATTTAAGGTTCGATAAACCAATTGCGCTTTAAAAATTTTAGGGTCGATAGACCAATTGCGCTCTATACATTTTACATTACCTAAGGAAAACTTATTAGTTAGTTACTAACTGATTTTTTTACGAGTAATGGTTTGGAAATCGTGATGTTTGTATTTTGCATGCCTTAATCCTTAATTTGAGTATGACATTACAATTTA